TTTGCGCCAGGGTTGCAAGGGAAAGTGCTGACAGCTTTTATTCCCCGTTTCTAAAACCAGCTGGAGGCACGTGAAAGGGCGCAGTAATAGTTGCCGTTGTCTTCATGGCGGGCAGATGCGATGATGAGGATGCAGGCATTGCTGGCGAGGTCTTTGACAGCGGAGAACCGGTCGGGAATCTTGGCGGGCTTGTGCTTGTCTTGCTCGGAGTGGTAGTAGAGCAGATACCTCAGGGAGTGCCCCGGGCGCTGCTGGTACCAGGAGATGCCAAACTCACTGATATTGTACTGGGGGCTCAGGGCACAGGACAGCCGAGCGGTCTGCCCAGGCAGCACCAACACAGAGGACGGCTGGGTCAGCACGGGCTGAGCCCTGCAAGCTGCACACACCAAGGATACAGTCACTGATGGGCTGAGCCATGTCTCACACCTCCCCCAGCCCCAAAATGTCCCCCCACTCCCTTGAGGCAACCCTGTTAACCAGCCCCACTCATCACCACACACAGCCCTGAAGCAAAACGCACTACTTGAACTAACACCCCCCTCATACAGCCCAGCCTTCTGTGCCACCCCACAGTGCTCCTCCCAGACAGCAGCCACCTCAGCCACAGCACCCTTACCTGTCCCCACCGTCCCCACCAGGAGCAGGACCATGAAGCCCAGGACCATGGCAGGAAGCAGAGGAAAGAACACTGCTTTGGAGAGGGTCTGTGGTGCTGCTTGAACTCAAGTTGCTGTGCTGCTGGCGCCGGTGAGGTGTATGTAAATGACACAGGGGGCTCAGGGACTCCAGCTCGCCACGTTGCTCGCTTTGGTGCACCTGGGCTTCAGGGAGGGGGCTTGAAGCAGTGGGACGAGAGCTGAGCATTGCAACCCACTGCCCACCTTCACCCCAGGCTGAGACATTTCCTCCTGGTGCACTGATACACACACAGGCCCCCCACCTCCCTCTGCCCCCAGGACCAGGGTACAATGGGGAGGTATCACTGACCATCCTTCCTCTCTGATGAGGGGACCAGGGAGGTTTCCCTATGGTTTTACACTCAGACTTTTGCCTCACGCCCTCTGCCAGCAGGTGTGCAGGAGGCCAGGAGCTTGAGCCATGTGATGCCAAGGATGCTTCACAGTAGCAGCAGGCTGGAGGTCAGCTGGCTCTGCTGCCACCAGAGACATGCCAGAGCCCCCCAGCAGATGCAATATAAGGAGAGCTGCTGCTCCCCTCTCCATGTGGCTCCCTCACTGTGACAAGAAGGACCACCCTGCAGCACAGGCTGGGAGCGCTACCTCTTTTGTCAGGGCCACCTCAAGAAACAGCGGCCGCAGTCAAACAGGCAAGTGTGGCTGCTGAAGTCACTGGCCAGAAGTCATTTCCCAAGGGAGCCGGTGCAACGAGATGTGGCTGCAGCACAGCTGGTGTCTTGTGCGGAAGGCCAGCAGATCTTCACGGCAGAAGGCTGCCAGAATCACCAGGCGTAAAGCCTGTCCTGTCTGTCACATCCATCACAGGGCCCAGAGATGCCACATTACGCAGTCAGACACCGTCAAGGGCCATCCCCCACCCAGCATCCCCCAGTCACCAGCCCACGGTGGTCCTTCACGGTGTCCCATAACCAGTGGATAACCCCACCCCTCCCCAGGGCGGGCCAGCCCTGCTGCCACCACATCACCACCCAACAGCACCCAGCCCTGCTCCCAAGGCGGCACCAAGCCAAAGATGTTTACAAGTGGTTCCTGATGTGCCAGGCAGATGTGCACTCCCGGTTTGAGGGAAAATGAGTCCTGAGACAGAGCCCTGCCTCACGAGAACACCCCAGCACCATGCATCTGGCACAGGCAGATCAGCTGGGAGCAGGGTGAGCAGGTCGACCAGAGGAGCTGCAGGACTAACAAAGGTGGGGGAGGTGCAGAAAGCACCACGAGGCTGCAAAAAGTCTGAAATTCAGAGCAGGTAGGACCACATGGAGAAGGCACCCTCCCAACAGGCTATTCTTTAGCCCAGCCCCTGCTCTACTCTCCCACTCTCTAGCTGAAGGAAGCTCATGAATCCCTGGGGGCCGTTCCCCATTGCTGAGAAAACTGGCTACTGAAACCATGAGAGCATCAGCTGGAACCACAGAGATATGGAAGTACGTGGGGAAAGCACCAGCTTTGCCTCAGCTAGGGGCCAGCTGGTCACCTGGACCATCTCCATCACCACGCCAGGAGGTGGCATCATGAGGGACAGGGAGGGAAATGGCACCTTGATGCACAACAATGCCCAGTGGTTACAGAACAGGGCAGGGGAGGGGAGCTCTGCCAGGGCACATCAGCAGCCTTTGCCTCATATGTTTAGGAAAAAAAAAAAAAAATCAAAAAAAAAGCGAGCAACGGAGGAAATCCCAGCAGAGCTAAGTTAATCGCAGGGAGGCACGTCAGAGGCCTTGCAGCTCTGGGGAATCACTGGAGGGGGCTCTGTTTACATGGGCACGACCAGAAGAGCCATGGGCACAAGCAAGAGCTGCCAGCAGAGCTCCTCTGCTTGAGCTGTGCAGGAAGGGTTCCCTGGTTCAAATCTCGGCCCTCAGCTTCAGAGAGCAGATATCTGCCGTTGGTGGGAGGGAACGAGCAGACTCTGTCCCAGCCTTGCCCAGTCAGCCAAGAGCCACTGCCTGACCCCAGACACTCATGGCTGAAGCCACCAGATACACGTGATCCTAAGCCTTTGCTCCCTCTGCTATTTGGACTGGATCCCCAGTTCCAACTACTGACGTGTGTCAGCCCTGGGGATTTCTTAATTGCAAAAATCTCGGTGAGAGTTCACGGCCAAAATGTCCCGATGACTTAGCTACAATCTCCAGCTCTTTCCCCTTGTGACCAGGACAAGTTTGTGGAAGGTGACCAGCAAGAGCCAGGGCTCAGTGTTTTTCCTACACATACTTGATGAAACAAAGTTGAAGGACAGAGACACTTTATGAATCGGAACCATTTTCCCCAAATCAAACTGTCCATCCCTACTCCTACATTTGGTGCATTCCCAGCACCAGCAGACATGGCTGGGACGCAGGAGCTCAAAGCCCTGCTGATGGCCACACACAGATCCTACCTTCACCAGCTGTGACAGCACTTCACGGCCACGCACTGCACCTCCTGCCATGTCCATGCGACCCCTGGATTCAGGGTGACCACGTCTATATCCTACGTCTCATTCCCTGTTTGCTGCCAACTGCCAAGAGATGGTGAACCTCCAGTGCCACATCCTGATCCTCCCAGCTCACCGGAACGTACAAGCGCTCCTGAGCAGTGGCCACCAGAGGGACCAGCGCTCACCCCTAGAGAAATGGCAGACGGTAACGCACATGTCCCATGGGAATCCCAGATCATCCCAAAACCCAGGGCAGGGAGTTCGTTAAAACAACTTCCTTACGCTGCTTCCTCCCTGCTCACACTGGGGCAGCTCAGCACACAGAAGCACTTGGAGTTTGAGCCTCCAGCATCTACTTTTTCTCCTTGGCTGTCTCTCAGGAGAGCCCAAGGCACCCGACCAGGCCAGGCAACAGCTCAGGACATTATCTACCACCAAGAATTTTGGTCTTGACATTTAGAAGAGGCAAGACCCTCAACATTAGCCTCCAGTATCGGCTGCCAGCTTTGACCTGGATTTCCTCACAGATCCAGACAAGAGGCCAAGAACTTGCCCAATACTCAACAGCCAGAGATGAGCAGTTAACAGATTAAGCCTGCCACAAAAAAATCAGCATTTAGGCATCTGAAAGTGTCACGGTTTCACTGCTGTGCCACAAACTCCAGCCGAAGCCTCAAAACTCTCACCAACACGAGGAGCCGGGTCTCCTGCTGGAGGCCAGCCTGCAGGCAGCACTCGAGACTGTTCTGCTGTAGCAAGAGAAAAGCAGCTCCCAACTTAACCCGATGCTGGTGACCTTGAGAACGTTGCATAACCTCCTAAGGCTTTTAGGTAAGATCAGCAGACTGTATCTGAGTCACAAAACCAGACAGGTCATATTTTCTTAGCTCTGAGGTCAGAACAGCTCTTCAGGAAGAGGATATAAATGGAAAAGTCATTTGTTACTGAGAATACTGTAGGACGCATCTCAGATTACCTCTCTCCAGCCCCTTCCCTGCCAGGAGGGCAGCCAATCCAGTCTCAGCTCACTTGTGGATCTGCTTTTGCCAAGTCATGCAGGCACAGGCACAGTCCTCGCTCTGCTGTACCTCCTGATAGCAGAAAATAAACAATGGAGTACTGCCCTTTACGTGACCGAGAGTTAACGCTTTGGTCGCCTCATTTGAGCTTGAGAATTAAATAAAGAACACACACAAGTGATAGGTCCAAATAGATTCTTTTATTTTTCTGTAATAAATAAAGCACTATCTGAACTCCAAGTCCTACAGGCCAAACCATTCCCTTCCTTCCCTACTACTCCAGAAGTGAATTACCACTAAAGATTCCAGTCTGATCAGCCTCTTCCCATCAGCTCATCCCGTGTCCATCCTTCTGCTCCCTGCAGGCAGCAGGGCTCTACACCAGGCTCCTCTTCCCTACAAGGAGGCAGATTCTTCACAGGAGAGAAGAAACACCTACAGGAGAGAAACCGCAAGTTCAGAATGAGGTGCATGTTCTAGCAGCTGGAGTTGGTAAGAGCTCTTGCCTAAAGTGACCAGATCAAGACATAATTACTAACATTTGCCTTTAACAGATGAAGCAGGAACTAGGGAATCGAGTAGGAAAAGCAACAGGCTCACACATTAGCAAGACTGGACCCTGTAAGAGGGTATCTACAGCCTCATATTCAGAGAGACATGGTCAGGATCGCTCCTTCTGCCTTCAAGGTCACAAGAAAGGCAGAACTGTTTCCTACTTGAAGCGCTGAAGGACACTGTAACCTCAGCAGACCGGCCCTGCAGCCCTTGAACCCTCTCTGGCATTCTCCTGGCAGCAGCCCTCGCTGCCCAGCCCTCCGGCAGGGACAGGGCACGGACTCACCGTTGCTGTACTTGCACTGCTTCAGCGCCTCGTTGAAGCCCTCGCACAAGGTCAGGTCGCTCTGGCTGGTGGCGCACTCCAGGAACTGCTTCATCTCATAGTGGCAGGGCCCGAAGGGCGACTGCTGCAACACGGGCTGCGGCCTGGGCTCCTGCGGGCGCGGGCCCGGTCAGGGAAGG